TCAATTGTTATAGCTAAGTTGATTTATGATGCTTCGGGTCTAGACAAGTTGAAATCCATTAGCATCCGTAATCATGATCAACTCAATCAATGATGGGTTCTAGATAATTGTTTCACTGTTTGGAGCCTTGGAGGAAACATGTAGATTTATGTGGACAGAGAAGAAACATATGATTCTATTGTCCTGATATATATCCATGCACGTGACCTTCTGTCAAAACTCCAAAGTTCCCTATAATCCACCACAAAAATCTTGCACATGTCCTTCTTCCTGGAAGAGTTTTTAACTTTTATATATAGCCACAAAAAGTACAGACAACTTGAGCAATAACCTAGCCATTCCATATTCCAGCCCATCCAAGTAAAAAGGAAGAAAAAGGAAAAAGAAAACAATAAAAATAACCTTAAAAATCCTTAAAATTGATTTAAAAAAAAAAAATATTAATTTTTTTATTTTCTTGATAATGGTGAAAAATATTTTCTAGCATTTTTGTAAACAAACAGAACTCTTAGAAAAATATACTAGCTAGTAAAATGTTTTAGCAGATAATTTTTAAAAAATCATAAGAAACAAGTATTCCTAGATTAGGTTAAATATAAAAGTGTTTTAGCAATGGTCGGCGTGGTCGGATGGGTTGGGATGTTTGTGGCTGTTATTTTCTCTTTCATCCCCTTAATTCTGAAAATCATTTTTCCTCTTAGACAATATATTAATAGCTCTTTTTCCATCTATAGTGTTTATTGAATTCCCTTGCAGGCTTTTTCAAATTAGAATTCAACTCATATTCTCATTTTTAGCTATATTAACCAACAGGATAATATGATTCTTGATCACAGTGATTAAAGACTTGTCTTCATTGACTGTTGATATTGTCAATATGACTGGGGACAGACAGAGAAGTAAAGTTTCGGGAGGGGTAAAAAATAAAAGACAAGCAACTCAAGACTAAGTTCTAGGTAAGTGTAATTTTAATTTGTGATTATATCCTCGATCAATTCCATTCTTAGAAAAAGATGGCCTTTTCAAATTAAATTGGCTTAAAGTAGTGTCGTTTCAACTTTTATACAAACTATTAAGCATATCGGCTGTATAATTTGGGGAACTATATAACATGTAACATCATGCAAAAGAATTCAAGAAACGGATCGAGATTTATGACAATGATGATTGACAAATTTGAAACTAAAACAAAATCATTACAAAGTATTAAATCAAATTATCAACATAATGAATGAAGGGAGTTTCAACGTTTTTTCTTTTCCAGTCATCATATGCTATTTGGATGACTAAAATCTTGCTTGCAGTAGACAGAGTTCAATGTGTTTTTATCTGAAAGCCATATAAACAAATTGCATATGCCATTGATTGACGTAAGCAAATAAACAACTTTCAAAAAGTTAAAAGGGAACTGTCGGCAGAAAACGATTGACAAAGGAATTAAATTTGCTGTCATAAACCAAAACTTATTATTAGGTTTACAGCTAGTGTAAAATATTCTTATACATTCGTCGCTGGATGAGTGACATGTATGTTTGAAGTTTGATTTTGTAATTATATTCTTCCATTTGTCAATCATTGAAAGATTAGTGTATTAATTATTTTTTAAACAAGCAGTGAACCTACTAAAACTCTGAAAAAGAAACTGAATGCAAGTAAATAGTTTCTTCATTTAACATTAGGGTGTAAAAATAGTGAGTGAACTGAGAATAAAACCGAGGTTGGTTCAGTGGTTAAAGGGATGAATATATAAGTGTGGATTAGACATATGACATAAGTTTGGTTCCCCATATCCAAAAAGTGAAAACATTTTCATGTAGATACTGCCTATTCAGATTTTGACTCGCATCTTAATTGGACTATGGGATTAGTGGGATACTTCATGGATTTGCAGTTTACTTACTTAAAGTGGGGTTTCTTAAATTATTATAAAAATATCTATGAATTGAGGAGAAGGAGGAGCTGAAATTGAGGCTTTCTTTGGTTGAAATAAGTAAACATACAAAGAACAGCTTAGAAGATGGGCTTTGCTAGAATGGGCTTTGGTATTGGAGTTTTAACTCGGCTTGAAAATGTTTCCCAGTTGGGCTAGGGTCATTTTCCTTGGTACAAAATTTGAGAAAAATTGGATCTGCAATAGGATGAACCGATTCACAATCGAAGGATGACACAACGGAGGGAGTCTCAAGCTGAAGTGCTATGCGGAATCTGCACATCATAGCGAAGCTTCGGCCCCTCCATCGAGAGATTATACTGCTCGTTTGAAAATCTGTAAATTTCACAGCAACTTCAATCAGAACTCAAACCAGAACGCATTTGTTGCATGGAACTTGGACACATTCATCAAGAAGTCAAGGTCTTTTGTGGAGAGGATGCAGTTCACGGGTCGAGAGGAGTCGAGGTCTTGGTAGTTTTACGTGTTGATTTTGGAACCATCAGAACTAAGATCATAATAGACATGCGCCAGTCTTTTGAGGTTTCATATGTTGATTTTCTGGACCACTACGTGTTGCATGGTTCGTGAGAAGTCATGGTCTTTATGTTTTTTGGTGATGTTTGGCCTTGAAATTATGAGCTGTACCTTTCCTTTATAGAACCAATTACATTACAGAAAATGTGTATGGGTACTTATGTTTTGAATAGGGACTAGTGTGGGTCTCATTATTTTTTTGTGACATATATGGATTAACTTACTTGAGATATTGTCCACTTTGGCCCGTTCTATATCAAGCCCCACCGTTTTGTCTTTTGGTGTAAGGGAGGCACTTTCCCAGGAGGTCACCCATCCCGGTAGTGTTCTAGCCTGGGTTCGCTTAACTTTGGAGTTCCAAAGCAAAGTTTGTTATTACATCAAAATGTGCCTTCATGAGTTAATTCCAATTTTCACACACATACACACATGCACACATATCTCATAATCGCTCCCCCCTATTCGGTGCATAGTTCGGTTCATTCCTATCCCCTTCACCATTCTAGAAGTCTGCCAGGAGACACTCCTTATCTAGGCCCTCTGTCCCCAGCGATCGTTCTCTGCCCTTGTCGGACCGGGTCGTTACATTTTTAATACATTGTAAATTGTTCATGCATTTTAATCTTATTGGAAAGACGAAAAATAAAGGGATGTCCTATATAAACTGCTTCTCACTCATATAGCATCGTATGGAGAAAGTTTAACATTTATCAAATTTCATTTCTCTAATTTTACGTCCTTGCAGAATCACATTGCTACGGCGGGTACAATTTTACTATTCCATACTAAAAAAAGATGGATCTTTTTCCTTAGAATTTCGAAAGAGTTGGTAAGTACAAAAAAAAAAAAAAAACTGATGGCTAGTCAAAATCTATATCTCCCGTTTCATATAAAATGTCCTATTTTGGACAAAAAAGTACGAAATTCTTAATTCATATTATTTGTTAATGTATGACATACATGGATTTGACAATAATTGAAAATTCCTCTGTGTCGTTATATGCATAGGGATCTTTCATTATGTGATCGATAACTATTGTGATATTGAAAGAAAATAACAAAAATCTTCAAAATAAATATTTAATAGGAAGAGTTACATTGCTGATTTTTAACATTAGAACTCATCATGAACAATGGTATTGAATGGGGCGAGCACTAAGGAATGGGGAGAATACTAGTTGGAAGCAAGATGAGTGAAAAGTGTAAGAAAATTTTTCGTTGCGAGAAAAATGAACATCTTGTTTAATTACAAATCCAAGCGGCACTCATTAAGGACAGCACTAGAATACTTTGCAATGGCATATTTATGTAGACATAACTTAGTTTCTTGGAAAGGTATTTATTGCCGATAGTTAGAGAAGCTGAATTTATGCAACATCATTATTGTCGAGTGGCCGGTAGCCCCTTCGTCGTAAATTTCACAGTCAATTAATGGCGATTTAATTGGAATTTGAACCGGATTATGTATGGAAGTAGGACACGTTCATGAAGTCAAGGTCTTGGTAAGGTCATCGAGTTTCATTGCCATGGACTTGGGTCGTCTGCACGCTCAAGAGAAAGTCTTGGTCTTTTGTTGTTTATGTGAGGTGTGATCTTCAGCCAATGTGAAGGAAACGTCAATTTCGAAATTTTCCTTCTTCAACTAAAGAGAAACGATCCTGCAAAGACGTAGTGAATGTCCTTAACAAGCCAAACATTCATGACGAAACAACACATTATCTCTCATCACACATTCAGATTTTACTAAAAAGATGAAAAAAAAACCTGTCCGATAAATGCTTCTCACTCCTTAGTAATTGCTACCTAGGAAGATTTTAGCCTAGCTAGTATAAAAAAAGTTCGACATGACTTAAAATTGCACAAGCCGCATACTTCATGTCCTCAACCACGTTCGCCAATTTGCAGCATCATTTCGTCAACCGACTCTTCACTTGGTGGAGCTTATTTGCTTGTTTTGGGACAAGTACTTCATGGTCCTTGCTCTTCTTGTAGGCTTGACGAATTTTCTGTTGATCCACCTTCCCACCATACTCCTCGATTATTTCCTTGGAGCTGCGCAAGTGAGATTGAATGGAAGGGCTTGGCCAACGCTCGTTTTGGAGCTAGAAAAACTTTTGAAACTTGTTTCATTGTGGGTCGTGACTTTGGATCGCTACTTAAGCAAGCAAGCGCCAGAGAAACTACTTGAATGATGCTTACAACAGAATTCTCTCTCGGGATTGGCAAGCGCGGGTCCAATAGTTGATGCAACATAATATCTTCTTTGAAAACTGTCGACAACATTAAGGTGATCTCACCTGGATGCTGACCCATTATTGTTTCCATTGCTACCACCCCGAAGCTGTAAACGTCACATTTCTCATTGACGACCAAAGTGTAAGCGAGCTCTTTAAAAAAGCAAATGGTCATAAATTAAATGAGGCTAAAACTAAGTTTTCAATCTTAGCCTAGTGCATTGTCAAATGATAAATATGTAAGCACGATGAAGTGTCGACTTGTTATTACCACATGGGGTTTAAGTACATTGATCTAGCTATGTCCCTCCAGTAATAACATTCCATAAAAATATGGACGATTGCTGCTCACCTGGTGCCATATATCCGTGAGCGCCTCCGACATTTGCAGTGAGATTAGATGAGAAATTATGTTCTAGGAGTCTTGCCTTGCCGAAATCCGATAGGAAAGCCTGCATGTTGTTATCGAGCAAAATGTTGTTGCTAGATATGTCTCGATGAACTATTAGCCGAGCGCAATCATGGTGCAGGTAAGACAATGCATGTGCCATATCCCAGATAATCTCGAGTCTTTTAGACCAGTCTAGTTCCACCGCTTCAACGTCATCTCTCAAAGCACAGAATAGACTCCCCCTTTCCATGTACTCATAAACCAAGAACATGCATCGCTTGTGTAAGCAAAAACCATGGAGCTTGATTATGCTTCTATGCCGTACTTTTGTCAAGTGCTTCACTTCATTTCGGAAGCTCTTGTCGAAAGATGGGTCTTCTGCTTCAAGACGGTGAAGTTTTTTCAATGCCACGGTTTTCCCATTGGGCAATCTTGCTCTATAAAGACTACCGTATCCACCGGTTCCAATGCAATATTTGATATCAAAGTCTTCTGTTGCATTGATTATGTCTTCATATGCAATTCTCCCATCATAATTCCATATTGACAAGAAATCTCCACTTTTTTCCACTGTCTTTGATTGCAGGCTCTTCATTCTACACCCAAATTTGATCAAAGGCCCCAAAACGAAATAGAAAATGAACGGTGTAGCCGTCATTGGTATAAGTATTGTCATAAGTACAACCCTAGACATTCTTCTGGAACCATCAATCTTTTCCAAACCTTCATTGCCTATGAAAGCTCCATAAGGAACATGGGCCAGATTATTTGGAATTTTTCCTGTGAGATGATTGTACGACAAGTCAATGTAATCTATGTGACCAAGAGTCGGAGGGATCGTCCCCCAAAACGCATTGGAACTCAGATCCAGGCAGATAAGACTCTTTAGATTTCCCAATTCGGGAGGGATAGGACTTCCGAGTCTATTACTATGAATGTCAATTACTTCTAACGCGGTGAGGTTTTGGAGACAAAGAGGGAACTCACCGGTTAGGTGATTGTGGGACAAGTTGAGGTGCCTGAGCTTCGGGAGTGCACATATTTGAAGGGGAAAGATAGTAGCGAGGTAATCATCATGCAGCCTAAGAAAGGCTAGATTTGAGAGTTGAGAGAAATTCATGCTGCTCAAATCACATGCGACCCCGGAGTCGTGTTGGCCTCGTTGGTTTATGTTTATCTTGACAACGCTTCCGGAATGGTCGCATGAAATGCCAGGCCACATGCAATGTCACTACAAAAAAAGCCGGGTTTTGCCACGAATTTTGCCACGAAAAATTTCGACAAAATTCGTGGCAAAATGCATTTGCGACGAAATTGGCGACGGAAAAAAATTCGTCGCTAATAGGCCGTCGCAAAATTTTGCCACGGAAAATTCCAATTTTCGTGGCTAATTTGCGACGAAAAAATTCGTCGCAAAATTCGTCGCTAATTATCCGTGGCAAAATTCGTGGCTAATTTTGCAACGAAAAATAATTCGTGGCAAAATTCGTCGCTACTTATTCGTGGCAAAATTCGTGGCTAATTTGCCACGAATAATATTCGTGGCAAATATCCGTCGCTAATTTGCCACGAATAATATTCGTGGCCAATATCCGTCGCTAATTTGCCACGAATATTTTTCGTGGCAAATATCCGTGGCTAATTTGCCACGAATATTATTCGTGACAAGAATCCGTCGGTAATTTGCCACGAGATCTATTCGTGGCAAAAGTCGTCGCTATTATTTTGATTTATTTTTTGGTCGCCAAAGTGCGACGAAAAATTTTCATGGCAAAAAGTCGTTGCTAATTATCACGTGGCTAATAAATTTTTTTTTTTTTCGACTAGTTTATTCGTGGGTAATTTGCCACAAAAAAATTCGTGGCTAAATTCGTGGCTAATTTGCCACTGGAATTATTCGTGGCAAAATTCGTGGCTAAATTCGTGGCTAATTTGCCACTGGAATTATTCGTGGCAAAATTCGTGGTTAAATTCGTGGCAAAATTCGTGGCTAATTTGCCACTGGAATTATTCGTGGCTAATTTGCCAGGAAATTTTTTTTTTTTATCAGTATTTTGCCACGAAAAATTTTGACTATTGCGGCCGACATTATTCGAAAACAAATTTGGCGACGAATTTTAATGAATACTTTAGCGACGAATGTTGTTTAGGAACGATTTCGATTTGAAATCTGATTAACATTGATAGAAAATCACAGTCAAGACAAGAACAAACCCCAAAAAGAAAGAAATGAAACAATGTTCTAAATTAGCGAGTTCGCAAACTGTTGTGGCAAACTATTGATCTTGCCAAGAAGTTCTTTCACGTTGTGGCAAACTGTTGCGGCAAACTATTGATTTCCAAGAATCGAAGTCCTGTCCATCTGCAGGCGCAAACATCACAATATCAAACTCCTAACCCCTGTTAATTTTTTTCACATCTATTCAACAGTGTAAGCACAAAGATATAAGTACCTCTTGGAAATTTAAACTATCAAGGATCATCATCATCATCAGCAGCATCAGCATCAGCATCATCATCATCATCATCATCATCATCATCAGGAATCTCACTATCATCATCATTGTGGCCATCACCTACTGGATTAGTAGGAGGTACAGGAGGACCGCCGTCATTAGCTTCGAGGTTGAGGTGTTGCATGATCAATTGCAAACGTTGGTTCACTCCTTTCATTTCTTCGTCCTTCTGTACAAGTAATTGTTTCATTTCTTCGTCTTTACGTACAAGTAACCTGTTTCATTTCTTCATCCTTCTGTACCGATAATTGTTTCAAGCGGTTCAATTCTTGGTCCGTTCGCTCCTCGTGTTGTGCCCTTAAAAAAGCCGCCTTTGGAGGATGAAGTTGCGCGGCCGGCATTCTCACGACATCCTTGACAAGGATCCCATCCCAAATATTTGACCTCTTCTCATTCCACCCGATGCCTCCATCCATAATGCCATACTTGTCAACCGATGGCTCGGACGCAAAGAGACTATCACCATCACCATCACCATCACCATCACCACTAGCAAGCACCGTGCTCATTACAAGTTCATCATATTTGTCCTACATTAACAATATTAATAAAAATAAAAATAAAAAAAAACTTCATATATATAAATACAAAATATAACCTTACATACCTTAATAACTTTTGCTCGATTGCCGGTCCATGTCTTATCTTTTTTCTGAAAGGTGCGTTCAAATGTAGCCATAAATGTTGGTTCCGTCCCCAATTCATCTGCCTACAAAATATAAACATAAATGAAATGAGTAATTATTGATTTAACTTTACAACATGTTTAAAAGACTTACCATTCTTTTTCTATGCTCCCGATATTAATAGAGCCCCGGCATATGTGGCGGACCCTTCACTAGAACTAGAAGCTCGATTCTTCTTATTAATTTCAACGATTTCTTGATGCTTTTCGGTGTCCCAAATTCTTTTGATTTCCGCCCAATTGTCAGCTGTAATAAAATCCGGCTTTTCTTGTCTTCTCTTTGCTCTATTCATCACATTTCGCATGTGATCACCGGCTTTCTTCTTAAAAATTCTCTTAACTTCTTTCTCTTCCGCTTCATCCCACCTGAACTTCCGCTGCAAGCAATCAATAGAAAAATAATTGTACGCTCAGTATGTTAATCGAACTTAGTTTGTGAGGAAATAAAAGGACAAAACTTACCTTGAACTCATTCCACCACAATTCCTTTACTTCTTTTGGAGCAGTGGTCCAACTACTAAACTGCCCCATCCAATAGTTATCGATTATTTTATTAAGTCTCCTCACAACACGCGTAGAATTCGTGAATCTGCAAACAGGTTATAACTTATTTCAACATACGTAGCATCCGTAAAGCATACAGACAATTCAGTTGACATCCATAATAATTCACAGATATTTAAAAAAATGAAATACTTACGAATCTCCAAATGGGGCTATCATGAAGCGGGTATCTTCTTCATAATTCGAGTGTTGCGTTGAAGAAGAAGGTGGAACCGAAGGCGATGGAACTGAAGTAAATTCAGTTCGCATTTGAGGGTCGGAGGAAGGGCCAATGTGTCCATGTACTAGTTGAGGGTTAGATAAAAGGGCAGGGGCAGGGGAAGCGGAAAGGGATGGGGATGAGGACGAGGAAGAGGAAAGGCCTGATCTTCTTTGTGAAGCATCATCACGACGCATGTGACCTCCACGTTTATACTAAAAGGTGCAAGGTTAGACAAAAATAAAAAAAATTATGAACATATATTAAGGACACATAATGACGTACGTCGTGAAGCTTACCATTTTGTTATTGAGAGCAAGAGAGATGGCCCCTGAAAAAAAGGAAGCTGTCCGGAAATGTCTACGAGCTAAATTTCGGGTCCTACAACGGTAAAAAAGGAAGAACTCATCTAGCCTTAGAACTTAATAAGTTACACTTTCACAACAAATGTTATGATGCAAGTAAATCACTAAGTTCTGTTCAAAATGAATATATCAATAAATTTTTACCTCGAAGGGAGCCACTCCAGAAAACGCAAATGTTACGGAAATAGTTTTACCCCGATGGCCAAAGCTTCAACCCAGGCCAAAAAAGGTTTGGAAATAGTTTTCAAACCTAGATAATGATAAAATGACTCCGAAACGAAAAAAAAAAAGCCCAAATGTCGCAGAAAACACTATTCACCAGAATCAATTTTTGGCAAAAAACCCATCTAAACGACTCCAAAAAGCCAAAAAATGGCTTGCGTCACGGCCGTAGGCGTGAATTTCGATCAGCGGGCCGTTTCCACTTGACCGACTAAATTTCAGCTCATTCCGACAACATTTCACCTTATTTCGACCAAATTTCAAACGAATTTCAACTAAATTTCAACTAAATTTCAACCTAAATCCGACCAAATTGATTATGTTTCGTTCTGTTTCGTGGGCAAACGAAGCAGTTAGGTCTGTTTCGCCCACGAACGAATCAAATTCGTGGGCGAAACGAGAAACAGGAACCATTACTTTCGCCCACGAAACAGAGAATCAAATTCGTGGGCGAAACAGGAATGGTTCTGTTTCGTTTTAGCACGAATTTGATTCTGTCGTGGGCGAAAAACAGCACTCCAACAATAATTACACACGAAGCGCCCACGAAAGCCAACACGGAAAGCGCCCACGAAAGCCAACACGAGAAGCGGGGCCGAAGCAAGGCGCCCACAAGCGGTTTGTTTCGCACACAATAGAACCAAATTCGTGGGCGAAACAGGATAACTGCTTTCGTCTGCGAGCAACGAGCGAACGAGCGGAACGAAGCAAACCCAACACGGAAGCGTATGGACCCAACACGAAGCCGGCCAACACAGGCACACGAGACGCGAGACCCAACTCGGAAGCCGGCCAACACGTAAGCGAAGCACGAAGCTTAGCGAAGCGAGCGCGAAGCGGAAGCACGAAGCGAAAGCACGAAGCGAAGCATAGAAGCGAAGCACGGCGCGCGGACCAAACGTAGACCCAACACATACATTGAACGAAGCATAAGCGGACGCAAACGCCTAGAAATAACGGCGAAAAGGACCAACGAAGCATACCGAATAGAAGCAGACCAAACCGAATAGAAGCGAGCCAACACTCTCGGACGCCGCCGAAGAACCCAACGAGAAGCGGGCCGCGCGGGGGTGTCCTCGCTTCCCATCGTCCGCCGCGAAGAACGCCAAGAATCGCGCCGAAGAACGCCAAGAATCGCGCTAAAGAACGCCGAAGAACCGCAACGAGAGACAGAGAAGAGGGAGAAGACGGAGACAGGACAAGAGACGAGAGACGGAGATAGGTTCGATCGTGAGAACGAGAAAAGAAGAACCCTAATTTGTACCCGCTCATGAAGACGACGCCGTTCGGTGAATTTTCGCTGAAATTAGCCACGGATTTAAAATCGTGGCTAAAATCGTGGCAAATTTGCCACGATTTTAGGATTCGTGGCTAAACTCGTGGCAAATTAGCCACGAATATTATTTCGTGGCTAATTTGCCACGGATTTAGCCACGATTTCCAATCCGTGGCTAATTTGCCACGATTTTAGCCACGAATTGTTATTATATCGCGGCAAATTCGAACCGAAATATAAAATTGTCGCGGTAATTTTGGGGTCTTTTTCAAATTCGTGGCTAAATCCGTGGCAAATTTGCCACGGATTTTAGCCACGGATTTCCTAAAAAAGAATAAATTAGAAATTTTTTTTAAAACAAATCCGTGGCTAAAATCCGTGGCAAATTTGCCACGGATTTCCTAAAAAAGAATAAATTAGGATTTTTTTTTAAAAAATCCGTGGCAAAAATCCGTGGCAAATTTGCCACGGATTTTGCCTCGGATTTCCTAAAAATAATACAATCGAATTTTTAAAAAATCCGTGGCAAAAATCCGTGGCAAATTTGCCACGGATTTTTGTCACGGATTTCCTAAAATAATACAATCGAATTTTTTTTTTAAAAAATCCGTGGCAAAAATCCGTGGCAAATTTGCCAAGGATTTTTGCCACGGATTTCCTAAAAAATAATACAATCGAATTTTTTTTTAAAAAAATCCGTGGCTAAAATCCGTGGCAAATTTGCCACGGATTTTTGCCACGGATTACCTAAAAAATAATACAATAGAAATTTTTTTTAAAAAATCCCTGGCAAAAATCCGTGGCAAATTTGCCACGGATTTTTGCCACGATTTCCTAAAAAATAATACAATCGAATTTTTTAAAAAAATCCGTGGCTAAAATCCGTGGCAAATTTGCCACGGATTTTAGCCACGGATTCCTAAAAAATAATACAATCGAATTTTTTTAAAAAAATCCGTGGCTAAAATCCGTGGCAAATTTGCCACGGATTTTTGCCTCGGATTTCCTTAAAAATAATACAATCGAATTTTTAAAAAAAATCCGTGGCTAAAATCCGTGGCAAATTTGCCGCAGATTTTAGCCACATTTCCTATAAAAGAATACAATATAATTTTTTTTAAAAAAAATCCGTGGCTAAAATCCGTGGCAAATTTGCCACAGTTTTAGCCACGAATTTCCTAAAAAGAATACCATATAATTTTTTTTTAAAAATCCGTAGCTAAAATCCGTGGCAAATTTGCCACGGATTTTAGCCACGGATTTTTTAAAAAGAATACAATAGAAATTTTTTTAAAAAAATCCGTGGCTAAAATCCGTGGCAAATTTGCCACGGATTTTTGCCAATTTCCTAAAAAAATAATACAATCGAATTTTTAAAAAAAAATCCGTGGCAAAAATCCGTGGCAAATTTGCCACGGATTTCCTAAAAAATAATACAATCGAATTTTTTTAAAAAAATCCGTGGCAAAAATCCGTGGCAAATTTGCCACGGATTTTTTGCACGGATTCCTAAAAATAATACAATCGAATTTTTTAAAAAAATCCGTGGCTAAAATCCGTGGCAAATTTGCCACGGATTTTTGCCACAGATTACCTAAAAAATAATACAATAGAAATTTTTTTAAAAAAATCCGTGGCAAAAATCCGTGGCAAATTTGCCCCGGATTTTTGCCACGGATTTCCTAAAAAATAATACAATCGAATTTTTTAAAAAAAATCCGTGGCTAAAATCCGTGGCAAATTTGCCACGGATTTTTGCCACGGATTTCCTAAAAAAATAATACAATCGAATTTTTTTAAAAAAAATCCGTGGCAAATTTGCCACGGATTTTTGCCACGATTTCCTAAAAATAATACAATCGAATTTTTTAAAAAAAAAATCCGTGGCTAAAATCTGTGGCAAATTTGCCACGGATTTTAGCCACGGATTTCCTAAAAAAGAATAAATTAGAAATTTTTTTTAAAAAAAAATCAGTGGCTAAAATCCGTGGCAAATTTGCCACGGATTTTTGCCACGGATTTCCTAAAAAAAAGCCTAAATCATGCGTACGGCCTTTATTTACGAAATCCGTGGTAAATTGCCACGGATTTTTGCCACGAATTATTAAAATTAATTTTTGGCTTTTCATGAAAAATTACTTGGCCTTGTGAGTGGGATTTTTTCATGAAATTCGTGGCTAAATTTCGTGGCAAATTTTCCACTTATTTTAGCCACGAATTTCATTTCTACTATCCCACACTCGCGTAATTTTTTTTTTTTTTCCGAACAATGACGTTTCATTAACAATAATAGCAATAATAATATTCAACAACAATTACAATAATAATAATAATAATAATAACTACCACAACAACAACAACAACAACAACAACAACAACAACAATACTAATAATTACGGCAACAACAACAATAATAAATATGACAACAACAATAAACTTTGTCATAATAATAATAATAATAATAATAATTACGACATAATTAGTAAAAAGTTTCAAAAATCTAAATCTTCGCCTTCACCTTCGTCTTCATCTTGATCTTAATCTTCTTGTTCAGCATCATCGTCATCATCGTCATCATCGTCATCGTCATCATCATCGTCATCGTCGTCGTCGTCATCATCATCATCATCATCATCCTCTGTCGAAAATCGAGCTTCGCAACACCTTCAGATCTACATCTATCATTTGCTCCACATGGATCTCGTAGAGTAGGAATGTTATATTCCTCGGTTTGAACCGCATTATAAACTTCCTCTTGTTGATATGCTGTATCCTTCCAGTGTTCCTTGATTTTTCTTCGTGCTTTGGTTTTACATACAGCCCATCAATCAGCTTTGTCACGTTTCAAACTAGGATATGATGCATAATATACTTGAATTGCTTGTTGGGCCAACACAAATGGTTCATATTTCTTATACCTTTTCTTGTGATTTATTTCAACCAAATTAAACTTCGTATGTACCTTCGTTCCTTTGACGGGGTCGAACCACATGCACTTAAATAACACAACCCGCATTGATGGTCCGGGGTACTCTATCTCGATGATTTCATCCAACAAGCCATAAAAATCATCTTTTGAACTACCACAATTGGATGACCGAACACACACACCACTATTCATTGTGGCTTTTTCCATTCCATATTCTCGAGTGTGAAAATTGTACCCGTTTATGAAATATCTTTGGCCAACTTCGTATGCTTGTGGACCCCATGACAGATAATATAGTAATCCTTGCTCTTCAACTTGATCATGATTACTGTGAACCTAAGATTACACACGCAAAGTCAATAATATATATTTAAATGATGTATAAAATATTAATAACTTGGTTTTGGTCTATAGGCAACTTACATATGTTTTGAACCATGCTGCAAATTGTTCATCGCACAAACGGTCGAACTCATTTGGTGGTAGTCCATACATTGAATTTTGAAAAATCCTATTAACAATTTACATTTAAATATTAGTAAATATTTGACACACAATACATATATTTGCAAAAGTATACACTTACTTGGAAGTATGGCTCCACTTACGGACAGTTCGAGTAAAATATAGGTATGGGCGGCTGCCGTTCTTCGCCCGTTAAGCAACGAGCCGGCATGCGCCGCTTGGTCGAGCCGAGATAATTGAAAATAGAGAATGATTTGCAATTGGGATCGATGGGACCCTAATCATTTCTTCATGCTCTCCGCCTCTTGCACTGCACGTGCGGCTCAAAATAGTATGATGCAAATGTTGTCACTTCTTCCACAATATATACATTACAAATTGAAGCTTCAACACATGCCTTATTCTTCACTTTTTTCTTCAAATGATATAAGAACCTTGTTGCAATAGAAAGAAGTTTATCAGAACATAATATATAATAAAGTATTTTGAATTTTATTTTGAAAAAAATTTTACCTCTCAAATGGATACATCCATCGAAATTGGACGGGACCTGCAACTTTAGCCTCATAAGGCAAGTGAACTAGGAGATGCTCCATTGAATCAAAAAACGCTGGAGGAAATATCCTTTCTAAATTGCAAAGAATAATTGGAATGTCTCTCTCCGGTTTCTCCATGTGTGATACTTGTGCTTAACACTTTGTTGAGCAAATATCATGGAGGAAATTACTTAACTCTGTAATGGCGCCCCATACAAAGTTTGGTAGAAGTTCCTTCAAAGCTATTGGAATTAGTCTTTCCATAAATATGTGACAATCATGACTCTTTAATCCTGTCAACTTGCATTCGTTCAAATCAACACATCTCCCGATGTTCGAAGCATATCCATCGAAGGAAACCGCACTGATTTCAACCATTGACAAACGACTCGTCTCTGCTCCTTATCCAATGTATAAACTGCTTTTGGTTTTGGTCCCCTACTTGCTTGCATCCACATCTAATGTTGGCCGATCACAAATATCTCTCATATCTTTTCTTGCATTCAAGTTGTCTTTTGTTTTTCCCGTGACATCCATCACAGTATTTATGACATTGTCGAAAACATTCTTTTCAATGTGCATAACGTCAAGATTATGATGAATAAGATGAGCTTTCCAATATGGTAGATCCCAAAATATCTTGCGTTTAGTCCACTTATGTGCACTTCCGTACGCAATAGTTGTGCCATGAGGGTTTTCAACAACGAGTTGGAAAGTCCTGCACTCGCTCCCATATTTGATCACCAGTCAACCTCAATGGTGGAGGAGTTCTTTCAATCCTATTCTTCATGAACTCTTTTTTATTCCTTCTGAATGTATGATTCATCGGTAAAAATTATCTGCGTGACAGTCAAAATAGCAAGGCTTCTTACCATGTCTTAATCGAATGACTTCGACATCTCCAAACATATCGGACATCCTAAGATCCCAGTGTACTCCATCCGGATAACATTCCATAAGTTGGAAAGTCATTTATCGTCAAAGAAGAGCAGCCTTCATTACAAATGTTTGATTAGTAGAAACATCATACGTAACGACACCTTCATTCCATAGCCGTTGTAACTCTTCAATCAATGGTTGCATATAAACATCTATCAACTTTTTCGGATTTTGCGGCCCGGTCACGATCAATGTCAAAAACATATAAGGTGTCTTCATGCACATACCGGGTGGAAGATTGTACGGAGTTAAGATAAGCGCCCAACATGAATAACTTTTCCCGATTTTCCAAATGGGGCAAATCCATCAAAGCAGAGACTAACCTAATATTTCGAGGCTCTATCGCAAATTCGGGGTATGTTCTATCAAAATGTTTCCATGCCTCTGCATCGAAGGATGACACATTAGACCCTCTTACTTTTTCATGATTTGCATGCCAAGTCATGTGTTCGGCGATGGCTTGAGACGCATAAAGCCTTTGTAATCTGGGGATTAAGGGCAGATAAAACATTTGCTTGCATGGTCTACGCTTCTGATTACGACCTTGCCTCCTGTTCCTGTTAATCTTGTACCTAGGTTGGCTACAGAATTTGCAAGATTCTGCATTTTCATCATCTCTCCAATATAACATACAACCCCTACTACATACATCAATCCTTTCAACTGGAAGACCTAAGTTATCCACTAACTTCTTCATATCGTAAAAATCACTTGGCATTATGTTATCAGGAGGCATTGCTTCTCGCATTACTTCAACAAAAGAGTTAAAGCAATTCTCAGACACATTATGCTCTGCCTTGATATTTAACAATCTTGCTGTCGCTGATAACTGAGTATGATTGTCACAACCTGCCCATAAAGGTTCATCTACTGCTTTCAACACTTCCCAGAACTGATTAGATGGAAACGTTTCATTACACACATTCTCATCAAAACCTGTCACTCCTATCTCTTCAAATTGTTCAAGTCTTGGAGTAAAACTAGTACTTGCATGGTTTGGATCTGAATTATGACCAGCCGCATCAATCACCATCCTCTGGTATGGGTTCATTTGGTCATAATAGCTACATTCTTCCCTAACTGAAAATTGATTACTTATTCGATATCCTTCATCAGATATAAATGGTTCACCATGACAAGTCCAATTATAGTAGTTCGGAGTAAACCCAAATCTACAAAGATGTTCTCTAACTGTATCACATACATGAAATTTACCATTACTTGCACTTTCTACACGGACACCTTAACTTATTTCCATCCATCAACTCATATTTACTACTAGCAAAGTCCAAAAATAGTTCCAACCCGGACGAAACTCATCGGTCAATCCTCGACGTCCAGGTAAGTTCTTATTATACATCCAAGCCCTGTCTCTTTGCATTGTCTATATAAAAAAAACAAAATCTCGTAAAATATTAATGCCAAAAAATTTTCGATATTAAAACCATAAAATTCTAAAAATTAAAATTTTATTTTTGCCTAAACAATTATTTTGAAATTGAAAAAATTAAAACAATTGACTTACCCAAGTATTTGACTGAAATCTTTGTAGTACAAAGTGCTCAATTTGATGAGAATTGCAACGTTCACTTCATCCGCGAGACTTTCAAACGAATACGTACCTACAAAAAAATTGACTTCAGATTTTATTTTTTATAATAATTTTTTTTCCCCAATTTTTTAATAATTTTTTTTCGAATTTTTTCCCAAATTTTTTTCATTTTTTTTCTCCGGTCGCCGGTCCGGCGCACGGCGATCGCTGGCGAGTTGGACCTCGCCGGCCATGCCAATCTGGACCTCGCGGCGAGGTCCGGCCCGCCGCTCGACTTCCTCGCCGCGAGGTCCGGCGGCGGCCATGGCCGCTCGACCTCGCCGCGAGTCCAGGCGGCGGCCATGGCCGCTCGACCTCGCCGCGAGGTCCCGGCGGCGGCCATGGCCGCTCGACCTCGGCGCCCGGATCGGGCGGCGAGGTCGAGCTTGGCCTCGGCGCCCGGATCCGGGGCGCCGAGGTCGAGCAGGCCTCGCCATGGCCGCCGCCGTGAACCTCGCGGCGAGGTCGAGCGGCCATGGGCGGCGAGCCCAAGCTCGACCTCGCCGCGAGGTTCGGCGGCGGCCATGGCGAGGCCCAAGCTCGACCTTGGCGCCCGAGATGCGGCGCGAGGCCCAAGCTCGACCTCGCCGCCCCGGATCCGGGCGCGAGGTCGAGCGGCCATGGCCGCGCGCTCGACCTCGCGGCGAGGACGGTGGCCATGGCCGCGCCGACCTCGCGCGGGACGACAGCGGCCATGGCCGCCGCCGTTGGACCTCGCCGCGAGGTCAGGCCAGGGCCCCATGGCGAGGCCGCTCGGCCTCGCCCGGATCCTGGGGCGAGGTCCGGCCCCGCCCATGGCCGAGCCTCGCCGGTCGGCGGTGTCGCCGGTTCTTGGGGCCAAGCGCGGCTCGAATCCGAAAAAAAAAAAAGAAAGAAAAAAACTCAATAAAATAACAAAAATTTAAAAATAGTTTTGCCCAAATTAATCACACCACTTACCGAGTAAAAAGGTTCACCGAGATAGATTTTTGCGCGTGCGGAGAGATTTATCGAGAGGAAGGGATAACGACGAATAGAGAGAGGAAGGGAGAACGACTAATAGGGATAAGAGGAATTAGCGAGAGAGAGAAATTGGGTCTACAAGTAGAGGAAAATTAGCGACGAATAACAATTAGTCGCTAATTCCGTCATAAAATAACCACGAATTTTTTTCGTGGTAAATTTAAATCGCAAATTAGCGACGACATTTATTTTTCGTCAAAAATTAGAAATGGAAAAACATTCGTCGGCAATTTCGTCGCAAATTAGGCACTAATTTTTTTCGTGGCAAATTCCGTCGCAAATTAGCGACGAATATTTTTTCGTGGCAAATTCCGTCGCAAATTAGCCACGAATTATTTTTCGTGGCAAATTCCGTCGCAAATTAGCCACGAATTTTTTTTGTGGGAAAATCCGTCGCAAATTTTCCACGAATTTTTTTTCGCGGTAAATTTCGTCGCAAATTTGCGACGATTTTTAATCCGTGGCGATTCCGTCATAAATTAGCCACGAATTTTTTTCGTTGCAAAATTCGTCGGAAATTTGCGGCAATTATTTTCGTCGCTAATTTGCGACGGAAAATATATTCGTCGCAAATTGCGTCGCAATTAGCCACGAAAAATAATTCGTCGCAAATTTCCGTGGCTAAACCCTTGTTTTTTTGTAGTGTGTGCTAAGGAAACATTGCTTGCAAGGGGATCAGGCCACCACCCACTACCACGAAGAGCATTTGCTTCTGTTTCCATGGCAGTATATTCCAAGCCTTCATTGCCTTTGAAAGATGTATAACGAACATTGAACAGATTTTGTGGAACTTTTCCTGTGAGATGATTGTACGATAAGTCGATGTAAACCAATTTGGAAAGCTTTTTGAAATTGGGAACTGAACCGTGACGAGTATTCGTCGCAAGTCTGAGGTGGCTTAATGCGAGCAAACTCTCAAGTTCATGAGGGATTTTTCCAAATAAGTTGTTAAAGCTCAAATCTAGATGAGCGAGACTCTTTAAATTTCCTATTTCCGATGGAATGGCACAGTTGAATCCATTCTTACCTAAATCTAGAATCGTCAAGCCGGTTAAATGTGCTAGAGATGAAGGGATAGGATCAGTGAAAGAGTTTAAGCACAACGTCAAGTCAATCAGGCTCTTCATATTACCAATTTTTGATGGGATAGATCCATTGAATTCGTTTCCTTCCATACTCAGATATGCTAAGTTTGTAAAGTTCCCTATTTCTAGAGGAATATATCCATAGAATGAGTTTCCTCCCAAATAGAGATGCGTCAAATTGGACAAGAGACCAAGAGTCGGAGGGATTGTGCCACGAAGCAAATTGAAACCGAGATCTAGGTGGATCAGCCTCTTCAGATTTCCCAATTCGGGAGGGATATATCCACCTAATACATTGTCTTTCATACTCAGATATGCTAAGTTTGTCAAGTTACCAAATTGTGGAGGAATAGATCCATTGAAGGCGTTTGATTCCAAATTGAGATGAGTCAAGTTCCTCAATTTCGCTAGAGTTGGAGGGATTGTGCCACAAAGCTCATTGAAACTGAGATCTAGGTGGATCAGCCTCTTTAGATTTCCCAATTCGGGAGGGATAGGACTATCGATTTGATTAGTATGAATGTCAATAACTTGTAACATGGTGAGGTTTTGGAGACAAAGAGGTAACTCACCTGTTAGGTTATTGTGGGACAAGTTGAGGTGCCTGAGCTTGGGGAGTGCACATATTTGAAGGGGAATGACACCGGCGAGGCCATTATCAGGCAGTCGAAGAGAGGTGAGATTGGGAAGAAAAGAGAAATTCATGTTGCTCCAATGACGTGGGAACCAGTGGAAGTAGTCGTCTTGTTGTGGTATGTTTATTTCGACGACGTATCCATAATCGTCGCACAAAATGCCACGCCACATGCAATGTGACAAGGAAGCGTTGCTCGTAATGTAGTCAGGCCACCACCCACTGCGACGAAGAGCATCTGCCTCCTTTTGGGTGGCAAGGGCAGGGCAGTTGTGGTAGAGAGCTAGCGCAATGACGATCCATGTAGTTGCGGTCATCAGCTGGAGAACATGCAAGCCGACGGCGGGTTTGCTGACAGGATTCAAATGAATCATATGGAATATCTTCATGCTTTATAGTTTATAAAGAGAGAGAGAGAGAGAGAGAGGATCTCTTCTTTTGCTTGGGAAGTGGAAGGCCTGAGTTTGCTGTTATATAGAAGGGCAGAAATAACTTTGTGGAGAGCAATTCGACATAACGACTTGGAAGTCTTCGACTGACTAATTTAACCAGCATGCATATATGGATGGAACTTGTATACGTCCATCAAGAATCCATCCATCAAGAAGTCGAGGTTTTTTGGGGTTTTATGTGTGTTGACTTTTGGAGAAGTACGTGTTCATTGGAAGTCATGTACTATATGATGCTTTTATTGGTGATGTTTGGCCCTACCCATTTCTAACCCATCGTAAGGGAAAGGTCATGGACCAATTGTTCAGTCTTTTCTTCTCTTGACTAACAAGCCTTCAACTTACATAGAGAAAGATCCTTGTAATTCCTATCACACAGTGTGTAAACACAAAAGCATGTTGCTCATCCCAAACGATAGTGACCCTATTGGAATCATTTCTCAAAACACAAAGTAGACCCCCCCTTCCATCATGTGCTCATAAACCAAGAACATGCATCACCTGTGTAAGCGGAAACCGCGGAGCTTAATTATGCTTCCATATCGTACTTCTGTCAATTGTTTCACTTCATTTCGGAAGCCTTGTCGAAAGATGGGTCCCCTACTTCAAGATGGTGAAATTTTTCCAATGCCACGATTTTCCCATTGGGCAATCGCATTATACAGACACTACCACAACCTCCGCTCACTATGCAATATTTGATGTCAAAATCTTCTGTTGCATTGATTATGTCTTTGTATTTGATTCTCCCATCATAATTCCTTATCGGCAAGAAACCTCCATTTTTCTTTGTTGTCTCTGATTGCATGCTCTTTGTCACACGTCGAAATATAAGCAAGGCCTAAGAACAAAATGGGAAATGAGTATTATAGATAAGTGACTTTATTAAAAAAAAACATACGATAGAAGATGTCCAAAGTTCAACAAGAGCTACAAGTTTATGAACAAGATCTAATTTTTTTTGGCGGGCCACATGAAATTATCCAGTCTCATTCAAAGGTTAACTCCCAATTATTTTAAAAAAAAATCCCTTTATGCTTCTGAAATTGATTATTATTACTTCGAGCACACTGTGTTGTCCAGTAATTGAACTTTTGCTATTCCTTTTAATCATTCACTAATCCATTCGTAACCCCATTATAATTATTTCGTTTAATGTAACAAATGACTGCCGAGGAATTGCTAGGAACTGCAATAAAAAAGACTGTTGAAATTGTATGGTCGGTGGAACAAGAACAGCTGCCTGACATACTTTGCCTACAGTTCAATCGTGCCGGCCCCAAGGCCTATTTACAAATTTTCCACAGCACCCATATCTTTTAAGAGATGAAATTTACGCCAAACTCGAATTTGAATAGAGCCCATGGGCAGGTCTAGAATATAAACGAGGCAAGTCCCTCACATGGACATGGTTGAACTGTTGTCACTCCTCTTGGAAGATATTCCCAGTTCTTCCACTTATAATGTTATCACATTCACATATACCACTTTAGCCATGCTAATTCTCGAAGGGCTTTGCTAGCATAACAGTCTTAAGGCTACTGTTATTCTAACAACATGTTATGAACCACATATTTTTGTAGGAGTGAACCCCACAATAATTTATAATAATTTATTATTTATTTTTTTGTAGCCTGTAATAAGCTGCTATTCTCACAGTAGATTCATGACAATCAGATAAGCATTTCTCATTCTCGAATATGAAAAAGCAAGTCATTTATTGCTGAAACTTTACTTTTCAGTTCATTTATTTGATCTAGAATTACCTAAAACCTCTTGGGATTTGCACCCTAACAAAATTATTCATCTGCAAGAATGTTATTTTATAATATAAATGACATCTAATAAGATGATCTAGTACACAGAAAACCAATCGATCATATCACTTTCTAGCGACATTAGGGAAGAAAAATAGAAATGCAAATGAAAGAAGTGTGAAGTATATCAATAAACTTTGGATTTAAGCTCCCGAAAAACATGACACTTTCAAACGAGGAATCTCTCAACGAAGTTGTTCGAGCTCAAATCTGGCAGTTTGATATTCCTTATATCTCCCATTTCCGATGGCATGGCACAGTCGATCTAATTTCGCGTAAATTCAGCACGATCAGCATTCATTGACGTTCCCCGCTCGACTTTATCTTTCTCTTCACAACATGGAGGAAACCCGATTAGTACAGTCTTTCCGACGAGAGAGTGAGCTAACGTTGCCTTGGCACATAAACTCTACTTCCCATAGAAACTCATATTTTAGTTACCGCTTGCATACAATCTCTCCAGATCGGGTCATGAAAAAGTCACTCTTTCGCTGAACACTATAAAAAAAACAAGGGTTTTGCCACGAATTTTCCAACGAAAAATTTGGCAAAATTCCAACGAAATTAGCGACGAACAAAAATTCGTTGATAATTCGTCGTCGCAAATTTTTGCGACAAAAAATTTAAATTTTCGTTGGTAATTTGCAATGAAATTTTTTCGTCGCAAAATTCATGGGAAAATTCGTTGCAAAGTTCGCTGCAAAGTTCATTGGAAAATTCGTCGCTAATTATTCGTTGCAAAAATCGTGGCAAAATTCGTCGGTAATTTTTCGTGGTAAAATTCATGGCAAAACGAATTTCCGACGAATTAGCGACGAAAAAAAATTCGTCGCTAATTCGGCTTCGGAAATTTTTTGCGACAAAAAATTTTAATTTTTCGTTGGTAATTTGCGACGAAAACAGAGTCGTGGCAAAATTCATGGGAAATTTCCCACGAATTTTGCCACGAAATTCAAATTTTCGGCATGGGTGGCTTTTTTCAATTTTGTGGCAAAATTCGTGGGAAATTTCCCACGAATTTTGCCACGAAATTCAAATTTTCGGCATAGGCGGCTTTTTTCAATTTCGTGGCAAAATTCGTGGGAAATTTCCCACGAATTTTGCCACGAAATTGAAAAACCCGGTATTTTGCCACGAACAAAAAAATTCGTCGGAAATTTTTTTTTTGCAAATTTTGGCGACGAAAATTTGAATTTTCGTTGATAAATTTGAATTTTCGTTGGTAAATTTGAATTTTCGTTGATAAATTTGAATTTTCGCCGGAATCGCGGCCGCGACCCCCCCAGCCGGAATCGCACCATGGGTGGTCTGGATACGGGCCGATGAGGATAGCATCAGGGGGACAATGAGGGCCTTGATTTGCTCCTTCTCGGCGTCGGGGATCGGGGGCGAGGAGGCGGCCGGGGCGAAACGAACATGTGATGGAAACAAATCCAGGTAAGGTTCTAGATGCTTGCTGAGCTGTAGAAGTTGTTATCAGAAAAACAGAATGCATAGTGGAAGCGCGGGAAGATATATATTGACTCGACTGAAGAAGAAAGGGGAATGAATCAATCAGAAAAATCGCCGGGGAAGAAGGGTCTTGGAGAAGAGAGCGTTCGGTTCTTCTACTCGCGTAGAAAAATTCCGGCAAATCTCTTCCCCTTCTTCCGTCGTTTGTTCACCATCGCCGGAGAACTCCTGCAGCTGCTACTCTAGCTTTTGATCCATCTCTTCCCTTCCTTGGACTCGGAATCCGCAACCTCCAAGTTGTTCGTCGCTTCGGACGTACGAGGCATTCTTGTTCGTCGTTTCTTCGCCGTGCCAGAAGAAGCCAAGTTCCGTTGCGGTCCCGTTCGTAGACTACCGTGAAGTCATTGTCCACGAACCAGGTAAACCTTCTATTTGCAATGCTTTGTTTCTCTGTTACACTGAGGCATAGAACGCCGAATTGAATGAATGATTTCTAGTCAAAATCATGTGAAACTGAAGCGGATTTGTGGAATATATTGATGATTCAGAACTTTATATATTGTGTTTACGCTGAAAATCGTTTTAAAATTAAATCGGAAAATCGTTTCTAAAGTTGCATATCATATGTTCGGCAAAATGCATAACTAAAAAACCGAATTGATTTTCGTGAAATCGACGCATGGAACTTGTCCTTTGTGCTTGATTAGGTCCTAGTTTGATGAATCAATACTGAATCCGTGTTTTTCCTTGATTTTGTGGCATATTCATCATTTTTCCGAGTCGGCCATTGAGGGAACCTTCGACGGAGATCCATTCCACTTTTGCCGGAGCGATGCCTGCGGTTAGAGGCCGCTTCAGTTAGTCTATCTCACGATCTGATTTGCATATATGTTTCCTACGTGAGACTGAGTTTCAGTTAACGTGATTTTTAAGTTTGAGAATTTCTCGCCGGAGTTAGTCCGACCTTGTAGAAACCGTCGGCCAACTAGTGGCCGGTGCTCATTAGCCGGCCGTGGTTAGTTGACGTCGACGATTGAAGGTTGAGGTCGACGATATTATGAAGTTCGCCGGAAGAAATGTTCTCGGTGAAGGTGGCAAATAGCTATTCTCAGTGAAGATGAGGGCGTGAATAAAAAAGGCCATCGGGGAAGAAGACCAAAACAAAAGGGAATAAAAAGAAATAAAAAAGAAGTAAAAGGAGTTGATTATAATAGAGACCGAGTCGATTTGGGTGGAGCAAAGGTGTAATGGGCTGTATTTCAAGCCAATTGAATGGGCTGAATTGGAATTGGATAAAAACTGAAATTTGATAATTTGGGCCTTATTCATATTGGGTCCAAGAGCTTGCTCGAATTGACCTAGCCCGGACCATCAGGGTCCGGGTCGGACTAATGAATCAAACCGGGTTCGTAGACCCGGTCCGAAGTCCGTTTTCCCGAAAAAAAAATTATAAAAAATATATAAAAATTAGAAAAATAAAAAATGTGAGAAAAGGTAAAAAAAAATGTAGAATTCCCTTGGCTTAGTTTTCTTTTAATAAATACTTTTGGCTTGAACAAAAATTGAACCCAAAATTGAATAAGCCTTTAGGGCTTTACCTTAGGGATTTTTGTTGTTGTTTTTTTTAGAGACCATGCTAGGTCGTTGTTTGTCATTTCATTTTTTGGTTTCGTTTGATTGCGCGCTTTAAATTCATTGATTGTTGTTTTTCCTTTTTAGAATGGTTAGGATGAAAATTCAAAATTCTTGATTAGTAAAAGACTGCCGTGATATTTTAGTTAGCAAATAATCAAGTTTAGGTACCGAAAGGGCATTAGTTGAAAAACTAGTGTAATCAAATCCCCGATCCCTAAAAATCTCTGATTGCGTATGTTTTCGAGATAACACTCCCGTATCTCAATTAGGGTTTCTAGCCGACCCTTAATCGTGGCTAGTGGCGACTCCTATCGAACAAATAGATTTAAACAACTAATGTCACATGAGGTATGAACTTAGGGAGAGTTCAATAAAATACCTCTAAACCTACTTCCTCAAGGCGGCTCTCGAAGATTAGGTCGTGACATCCACGTCAATGATTTCCGTGTAAAATTAGCTGGGATGACTAAATTGGCAAATTATCAAAAGATTTATGACTAAATTGACAAACCATCATAAGGTTTAAGACTAAATTAACACAATTAAAAGGGTTAGGAGTAAATTGGCAAATTATCAAAATATTTAGGATTAAATTGGCCAAATTGAAAGATTTAGGATTGAATCGATATAAATATAATAGATTTAGGACTTTCTAAATAATTTCCCCATTGGGGTTTCATATATTGATTTCTAGACCACAGCGTGTTACATGGTCCGTGACAAGTCGTGGTTTTCATGGAATTTTTGATGATGTTTGGCCTAAAAAATATGAGCTTTACCCATCTTTAATGGAAAATAAAAAATATTAAATAGACTTATTCTACGAGTAACTTGCATAGAATCAATTACGTTATAGAAATTGTATATGGGTACTTGTGTTTTATATTGATCTATATTAAAAAGTCCAACTCAAAAGCTTAAGCTATTAAGTAGAGGGAGATCACATAAATATAAAGAGCCTTTAGAATCCGTTGTCAATCGATGTGGGATAATTCTTCAACAGTCTAGTGTGGGTCACATTATTTCTTAATACATTATTATCGATAATACATTTCAATATTACTGAAAAGACGAAAAATAAACGGATGTCCTATGTAAACTGCTTCTCGCTCCTATAGCATCGTATGGTAAGAAGTTTAACATGACTCAATGATTTGCAGAAGCCATACACTTCTATGTCCTCGATCACTTTCACCAAATTGCAGCTTCATTTTAGCAATCTATCTCTTTACTGGACAAGCACTTCATGACCCTTCCTCATCGCTCAGTCCTGATGAAGCTTCTGTGGATCCGCCTTCCAACCATGATCTGTTATAATCTCGGAGCTGAGCCAATGAGATCTCATGGAAGGGCTTCGCCAATGGTAACTTTGGAGCTACAAAGGCTTCCGAGACTCGCTTCATAGTTGGTCGAGACTTTGGATTAGCACTCAAACAAGCAAGTGCCAGAGAAATTATCAGAACAATACTTCTTGCAACGGAGTTCTCCCTTGGATAAGGCAACCGCGGGTCTAAGATTTTATGTAGCATGATATTTTCTCCGAAGGGTGTCAACAACACAGATACGACATCTGCTGGATGTTCACCCATCATGGTTTCCATTGCTACCACTCCAAAACTATACACATCGCGTTTCTCATTGACGACCATAGCATACGCGAGCTCTGAAAAAAAAACAAAAAGAATACAAACGGCATCATAAATTTTGATGGCAAAGCCTTGGGACGGGCCGGGTGCACCCTTTAACACCTTTCACGGGGCAACTTTTCCGTCCCCGTCCTCGCCCACATAACTATGCACGACAACTCATTCCGCCCAGCCTCATTTGCCCCTTCAATTTTTTTTTTAAAACAATTAATTTTTCTAACGACAATATTTTCCATAATAAAAGTATAATAGAAATAAATGATTTAGTAATATCAATATAGATGTAATACCAAATATAAGAATCTTGACTATTCCGACAAATATTTACTTAAATTTCACATAAGAATATAGTTTATAAGACATTTTTTTAAATAAGTAACCTAGTAATACAAACAATGGGAGAGTAAAAAATAAATATTAATTATCTAAAAATTTCAAAATAATTAAAGTACATACAACACCACAAGTCATTGAAGTGCGTGGATGATGAAACTTCAGCAAGTCGTAAGAACTACCATGTCTGACTTGTGCCTCTAGTAGTAACTTTCAGAAGAAAAAATAAACTAATGGATTGCTCACCTGGTGCAATATATCCATAGGTGCCAGCCATATTTGCAGTGAGATTAGATGAGGAATCAAGATCCAGAAGTCTTGCGGTGCCAAAAATTGATACAAAAGCCTGCATTTTGCTGTTGAGTAAGATAATGTTGCTAGATATGTCTCGATGAACAATTGGCTGAGCACAGTCATGGTGCATGTAAGACAAAGCATGTGCCGTGTCTCGGACGAGATCGACTCTTTTGGACCAATCTAATTCCACCACCGTGACATCATCCCTCAAAGCATGGAATAGACTCCCCCTTTCCATGTACTCATAAATCAAGAACATGCATCGCCTGTGTAAACAGAAACCATGGAGCTTGATGATGCTTCTATGCCGTACTTCTGTCAAATGTTTCACTTCATTCCGAAAGCTCTTGTTGAAGGACGGGTCCTCTGCTTCAAAGTGGTGAAGCTTCTTCAGTGCCACAACTTTCCCATTGGGCAACTGCGCTCTATAGACACTACCATAACCGCCGGTCCCAATGCAATATTTGATGTCAAAGTCCTCTGTTGCATTTATTATGTCTTCATATGTAATCCTCCCGTCATAATTCCATATTGACAAGAAATTTCCATTTTTCTCTGTAGTCTCTGATTGCACGCTCTTTGTGGCATGTCGAAATAGGAAGCACGATCCAAGAACTACACAGGAAATGAGTATTGTAGCCAGCAGAACGAACATCCTCGTGTAATGAATAACGCTAGACCTTCTGTGGGCTTCGTTGCCCATAAAAGAGGTGTAAGGAAAAGCAGCCCTGAGATTATCTGGGATTGGGCCTTTGAGATGATTGTATGATAAGTCAAGGCGAACTAAGTGAGAATTGTTTTTAAATGTGGGAATTGAGCCAGAAAGAGAATTGTTGTGAAGATCGAGATAGATTAACGAGGTCAAATTCTCAAGTTCAACGGGGATTTTCCCGATCAAGTTGCTCGAGCTCAAATCTAGAAGCCCGAGATTCCTTAAATCTCCTATTTTCGATGGGATGACACCATCAAGTCTATTTTCCCGTAAATTCAGCATGCTCAAGCTCTTCACATTGCCTATTTTTGACGGAATAGATCCATTGAGTTTGTTTTGTTGCAAAAGAAGATTAGTCAAACCCATCAAATTCCCTATTTCTGGAGGAATAGATCCATCGAACTTGTTTTCTTGCAAATAGAGATAAGTCAACCCCATCAATTTCCCGATAGCCGACGGAATGGGACCAGTAAAGTTGTTACGACTTAAATCAAGATCCTGCATATATCTGAGGTTCCCAAGTTCGAGATGGATTTTCCCAACCAAGTTGTTCAAGCTCAAATTTAGCCGTTCGAGATTCTTTAAATCTCCTATTTTTGATGGGATGGCCCAATCAAATCTATTTTCCTGTAAGTTCAGCAAGATCAAACTCTCTAAATTGCCTATTTCCAACGGAATAGATCCATTGAGTTTGTTTCCTTGCAAATAGAGATCAGTCAAGTTCGCCAAATTCCCGATTTCCGAAGGAATAGATCCACCAAGTTTGCTTTCTTGCAAATAGAGATGTATCAAGCTCGTCAAATTCCCTATTTCCGGAGGAATAGATCCACCGAGTTTGTTTTTTTGCAAATAAAGATAGGTCAAGCTCCTCAGATTCCCTATAGACGATGGAATGGGACCAGTGAAGTTGTTGCTACTTAAATCAACTTCATCAGCTTCTGCGAGGTTCCCTAGTTCTAGAGGGATAGAGCCACCTAATTTGTTTGAACTAAATCTGAGGGACTGTAAATTGTGCAAGCAACCAACAGTCGGAGGGATTGCGCCAGTAAGACATTGAACTCGAGATCCAAATGGGTCAATCTCATCAGGTTTCCCATCTCAAGAGGGATAGAGCCACTGATGTGATTGTGACTGATACAGAGTACTTGAAGACTGGTGAGGTTTTGGACAAAGGGAGGCAACTCACCGGTGAGAAAATTGTAGGACAAGTCAAGGTAACTTAGTCTTGACAAAGTATATATTTGAAGGGGGATTTCGCCGACCAGTCCGGTGTAAAAGAGTTGCAGAGAAGTGAGGTTCGGAAGGAGGGAGAAGTTCATGTTGCTGAAATTACCTCCTATTTGGTAGTCAGTTGTCAAGTGAATCCCACTTACGCTCCCAGAGACGTCGCACCGTACCCCGGGTATCACGCCCCGAACCCTACGGACACGCAACATCCCGCTATGGTCATTATGATGCGACGTCCCAGGACTCGTCGCCGACCCTTTTCTTTTTATCTTTGAATTACGCAAGCGGAAACGATCACAAACACAACAAACCCCAGACAATAATCAAATCAGGGATAGCAGAGGAAAACCAGTCATAATAAAAGCCATTTTTAATATTCACTTGATTAACCCCTGGGAACATACTTACAAGCCCACTTCGGGCGCTACCACAAAAGCCAGCAAAAAGACAAAGGCTAGGGTTAATCTACTCCATCAACAAGTCGAACTCCAAAAACCAGCTTCCAAACACCCTGAACCAACTGGGTGCATCAACGTGCTAAGGGCCTGAAAAGTGGTTAACAACAACAAATGAGACGAAAGTCTCAATAAGTTAACAGCCTAAGCCCCGCTTAGGAGGCCAACTCGCACGGGGGTTCCTAACCAAGCAATACAACATCAACAGCACATCATTAAACAACCACAGGCATCCTTACCTCGCCTTGGTACACTCGTTGATGAAATGCACATGTCACAAGCTCGAAGCATTTAAAGAGATTTCCCATGCATCAATGCATCACAGTCGCGCGTGTCTCGATTATAAGGTAAAATCCACTTGGGCACGTCCCATACCATGCCTAGCAGTTTCTACCTCATAATCAAGCACTATGCATCACACGTATTCCAATTATTACGCCCCCTCGGGACCACCACACATCAAGCGATACGCAGCAAGATGGTGGTCTACCGTAAAAAGCGGGCTCCGTCCCGCCCCGTCGGGCACGGCTACGTCAAACGATCTACGATAAGACGGCATTCCAATACGGCAACATCAAACGATCTACTGATAAGATGATATCCCGTAAGGAGCATCGAGTCCGGCCTCGGGCCGCGACAAGGCATCCGGGAGCATCGGCACTCAGATAATCCCAGGCATCCGATAAATCGGGCATCGTCAAGCGATACACGGCAAGACGGTTCCAACGTGTGACCACACGAGCACACAAGCATTCCGGCCATTATTATCTTCTCGAATTAGCCCATGCATACATGAATCGCGCTCTCCTCGATGTCATACAATAATACCAAGTGGCCACACATGCAAACAGTCAATCAATTCTTGCAATCTTCGATATCAAACACGAATATCAATCACAAAGTATCACTAACATTACTTGGCATAACGAGAATAAAATAATTTAATTCCAAAAGTCTCATAAATTTTTCCACAGAAACTTTCGATCAAACAATTTGCCATAAAATCAATTTAATATGACAATTCGAGGCAAAATCGCCAAAATTCAAGCTAGAAATCATAATTTGAAATTATAAATTTTCCGAAATAACAATAAATTAAATTCGGAATTAATTAATTAATAATATCCGAAAATAATTTAATTTTCCAAAATGTCAAAATATTTCCTCGAATTGAAATCATTCAAATCATTTCCTAAATACGCCAACTTATACGGCGAAAACCAACATTGGTATCATAATTTGACGCTAGAAATTTTCCGAAAATAATAACATTTAATTTTCGGAAATTAATTATTTAATAATAAAATAATAATATTTAATTCGGAATTAATTTATTAACTAATAAAATAATATTTAAATTCCGAAAATAATAACATTTCATATAATAATCAATAACAATAAACTAATTAATAACTTATACCCTAAACACAATTAATTAACCACTAACCCACAATTAACATAAACTAAACATAAATTAAACTACCCTAAGCAAGTTTAACGCCCTAAACACGGGATTAGGGGTTAACTTACTCGGCTAACGCCGGCGATGACGCGAGGACGACGGCAGCGACGAGGGCGGTCCACGGTGATTCCGGTTCGGGCTCGGCGGTCGGCGGACGGACGACGAACGGCGGCAAACGAGCACGGCAAAGGAAGCGGCTGCTGTGGGTGGCTGTCCGGTGCGGCTTGGAGGCTGAGTCAGGCAGAAATGGAGGTTGGCGGTGTTGGTCTCAGCAGCCGGGACAGCGGCAGCGAGCGACGAGGCAGACGTGGGCGGACCGGCGGGAGGCAGAGCTCGCGGCTGGCTGGAACAGACCAGCGACGGGTGGCCGAGGGGTGGCTGGGACGGTGCTGCACGGCCCGGGGGGGAGGGAGCCGAGGTAACGACGGCTCGGCAGCGAGAAGGCGGCGCGTGGCGGAGCTAGTCCGACGAAGGCCAGGCCGGCGAGAGGCGCGGCAACAAGCAGAAGCCGAGCGGAAGAAGAGGACCAGCGAAGGAGAAGAAGAAGAGAAGAAAAGAAAAGAAGAAGAAGAAAAAGAAAAAGAAGAAAGGAGAAATGATGGGGGCTGGTGGGAGTAGGTGGTGGTGTCAGACGCATGGGGAGACCAGCGTGGAAAAGGGAAGAGAGAGAGAAAGTCAAATCGTAATAATCGCGATTCAATGGTCACGATTCGAATCCAAAAACGATTTAACGGTCTCCAAAAATTCCTAATTAATAATTTAGGATTTGGCCAAAGGGTATTAATAAAAATACACCGCAAGAGAGGTCTATCTGCCCAAATACCTCACTATTTGGTAGTCAGTTGTCAAGTGAATCCCACTTACGCTCCCAGAGACGATAAGTTTAAAAACACCGTACCCACGGGCCAGAAGCAATGAGGTAAGGAAGTGTTGCCGGTGACAGAGCGAGGCCACCACCTACTGTGGAGAAGCGCACTTGCCTCTGACTCATTAGAAGGTGCTGGTGCTGCAACAATTGAATTGCGGTAGGAGAAAGCCATAGTAATCAGTATAACTAAGGACGTGTTGCAGATTATGCTCATCATGGGTGACCTCTTCTTTCGCTTTAGTCAGAGAAAGAGGGTCTTGTTTAGTGACGTGTTATACTGCACTTATATAAAGTAAAGCAAGAAGACACTGTACTGACGCGTCAAAGGAAACGCCATTTGTACGGTTCACGCGTTCATCTTTTTAATGACTTGACACACTTGAGGCTTTCGTTGGTTGAACGAAGAGTAAGATGGGCCTGCTCGTATAGGAGCTTTTGTCGAGTAAGATGTTGTTAGATAGTGGTGGAGGTAGGACAAGATCTGGGCCATATCCTGGACGATATTGACTCTTCGGTACCGATCTAGTACCCGCCGCTTCAGTATCGTTTCTCAAAACACGAAATAGACTCCCACTTTCCATTGTTCTCATAAATCAAGAACAAGCATCCCCCATGCATAAAAAATATTAAAATAAATCATGCCTTCGTTTAAAAATTTAAGCTTTTTAAACAGTTGACAATGACCTATAAAATCTTACAAAAAATTGTGGATCACGTTTCGTGTGGGTCAAACCTGCTAATGATCATTTAGGGAGAATCATAATTTATGATAGCATCATGAAGGTTCTTTCATTGGAAGTGTGCTTGAGATATACAGAAAGTGCAGCATACGAGATTTTTTGTTTTTTGGTCATACAGCATACGAGATTTTAAGACGGAAAAAAGAGTGATTTTAAGGTTGCAAGGTTTTTTTTTTTTTTTTTGGGGGTCTTTGTGTCGATGGGTTTCCTCGTCTTTGTGTCCTTGTGTTCATCCATTCTGATTAAATTTTTAAAGGCTGTGTTCATTATTACAAAACTTCAAGACATAAATTAATGGGAAATTTTCAATTAAGGACCCAAAGTGAGTTTCTTTTCTCAAAAAAGGATCCCAAGTGGACAATGTTTCAATTAAGGACCCAAAATGCCTAAACCAATCTTAAATAAGGACCTAGCTCGTCGGCCGACAAGCGTAAGACATTTCTGGCGCCGGAATAGGGGCAATTTTATCTTTTTCTTTTCCTTTCTTTTTTCTCTTTTTCCTTTTTTCTTTTCTCTCTTCCCTTTTGTGGCCATTGCCGGCGACGTCCGCCAGCCTCAGGCGAGGGCCGCCTTCGCCGGCGTCGAGTGACGATCGGCGTTGGGCGAGGGTCGCCCTCGCCTGGGCAGGCGAGAGCCGCCCTTGGCCTCATTGGATTGGGTGAGGGCGAGGGTTGCCCTCGCTAGCCCAGGCGAGGGCAACCCTCACCCGATGCCGGCGAGGCCGAGGGCGGCCCTTGCTGCAACCCTCGCCAGCCTAGGGGAGAGCGGCTCTCACTTGCCCAGATTCGGCGAGGGCCACACTTGGCCTTGCTAGCCCAAGCGAAGGTTGCCCCTCGCTGGCGTCGGGCGAGGCACCTCGCCTAGGCTGGCGAGGGTTGCGGCCGTCGCTCGATGCCGGCGAAGGCGGCCCTCGCCTGAGGTCGGTAGACGTCACCGGCGATGGCCACAAGAGGGAAGAGAGAAAAGAAAAAAGAAAAAAGAGAAAAACGAAAGGAAAAGAAAAGAAAAAGACAAAATTGCCCATATTCCGGCGCTGGAAATGTCTCACGCTTGTCGGCCGGCGAGCTAGGGTCTTTATTTGAGACTGGTTTGGGCATTTTGGGTCTTTAATTGAGATATTGTCCATTTGAGGTTCTTTTTTTGAAAAAAGAGACTCATTTTGAGTCCTTAATTGAAATTTTTCCTAAATTAATTTATACGGTCGACTGTTTCTTTATATTGGATGGACTCTAATTCCACAACATCGTGATTGCGAGGTGGCAGCCCCTCCATCGTAAACTTCACGATTAACTAATGATGATTCAATTAGAAGTTGAAACAGCTCGACAAATTCCTGAAGTCAAGGTCTTTGTCGAGTACGCACCTCAAAAGTCAACAAGTCAAGGTCTTCGGACATGTATTGATTGTTCGACAAATAAGACACGCTTCGTCTAGAGTAATAAAAAAGAATTCAAAAATTCAAAAAAAATAAAAATAAAAAACATTTAAAAAAATCCACGTTGAATGAAAAATTAATAAAAAAATTCACGTATGATGGTTTGACGAAAATGGCGGTTAAGTGATTAAGTGAGTGTAAATACTGAGTTATGGCATTGACTCTGGTGTCATTTATCACGCAGAAAGGTTTAGGGTAAATTGATCTCAATTAAAAATTTGCTGTTGATTAAATTGAGTACAAATGCAATAAATTTATGACTTTTTTTTATACTTTCCCACTTTCAAGTAAGGAAATTCGCCAACGTAACTTAGGCGATCGGTTTTTTAAAGTCATGATATGAACTTTCGGGCAAGCAGACTATTCTACTCATGCGAATTCCGCGGGTTCAGGATTCGATCCGAATTTAGACCCGCATACTGGCCAATAGACAAGACCCGGCATGAATGCATGGATGGAACTTGTACACGTCCATAAAAAAGTCAATGGTCTTCGGGGTCTAGTCTCGTGCGTTGATTTTGTGACCTTAAGATAAAAACAACACGATAGAATAGACATGTGCCTACTCAAGAAGTCATGGTCTTTTGGGCTTTCATGTGTGTGGGTTTTTGGATCAGTACGCGTTATAATGGTTCATGAGAAGTCATGGTCTTTATGCACATCTAACGGTGATGTTTGGCCCTAGAAATTTCTAACTCCGCGTAAGGGAAAGGTCAGGGAGCAATTTTCCAGCCCTTTTCTTTTTCTGACTAACAAACCTTTTCAACTTATAAAGCAAAAGATCCATGTAACACCGACACGCAGTGTGTAAATATCAAACCAGTTATATTGATCATGCATTCCAATCTTACTGGAACTGTCCTATATAAACTGCCTCTCATGACTCCTATAACTTTAGTTTGCACAATTTTTTATGCACGACTTAAATTGTAGATGCCATATAAAGCTTATAGCCTCAACCGCTTTCACCAAATTGCAGCATCATTTTATCAAACTAACGGTCAAGCTTGTTTAAATTGGCCAAAGATGGAGGGATGGGGCAAGTGAAGGAGTTTAAGCCTAGCCTCGTCTCAACCAAACTCTCAAGTTCAACAGGGATTCTTTTAGACCAGTAGTTAAAGCTCAAATCTAGATAAGCAAGACACTTTAAATCTCTTGTTTCTGATGGAATAGCCCGTTCGAATCCATTCCCATTCAAATATAGCATGGCCAGTGTTAAATTGGCCAAAGATGGAGGTATGAGGCAAGTGAAAGGAGTTGTGGCTTAGTCTCATCTCAATCAAGCTCTTCAGATATTGTAGCCTAAATTCTAAAGGGTTAATATCACGAAAAACCCTAAATTGGTATACATGAGACAATTTTACTCTAAACTAATTTTTTGATCACCAAAAACCTCAAACTGGTACACTCGTAATAAATTTACCCCGAACTATTTTTTTGATCACTAAAAACCCCACATTGGTACACTTGTTACAATTTTACTCCGAACTAATTTTTTGACCACCAAAAATCCTAAACTGGTATACTTGTGATAATTTTACCCTGAACTAATTTTTTTTATCACTAAAAACCCCAAACTGGTACATTTGTGATAAATTTACTCTCCGTTAATGTTCGTTAAATTAGATTAATATCACGAAAAATCACAAATTAGTAAACTTACGACAAACAGAGGAGTAAAACTCCAAACTGATACAACCGTCAATTATTACTTGTCATCAAACTTAGCAATTTGACAGTAAAACTTAACGGAAACTAACGAAGGGTAAATTTGTCACAGGTGTACCAGTTTGGGGTAAAATTGTCATAAGTGTACTGGTTTGGGGTTTTTGATAGTCAAAAAATTAGTTCAGAGTAAAATTGTCACATGTGCACCAATTTGGAGTTTTTTTATGGTAAAAAAATTATTTTGGGGTAAATTTACTATAGGTGTACCAGTTTGAGGTTTTTCGTGGTATTAACCCAATTCTAAATAAAAAAAAATAAGGAGGTGGGCTGATGGGCGGGCCTGGGCACTTGCCCAGGCATGCAAGTTCAAGCCTAGGCAGGTTCTCCGAAAGGTTCATGCCCCAGCGGACCAGCCCGAGCCCATCCAAGCCGACCCAATGAGCAGGTCTACTTGGTAGTAATCTCTCGCAAATGCAAGTGATCATGACACGAGCAGTCCGATGAGTCGGGCCATCCCTCGGCCAGGCTTGGACAATGCATTCGGCCTAGATGGATGGCGCCCCGATTGGGCTCAATTAGTTCAATTTTTTTTGGGCTCAATCAGTTCTTTTTAAATCGGGGGGACTAGCAAGCTAAACTGTTCTTGAGCCAAATACCGCCTCTGGCTCTTGCCTCGGCCCTGCATTTCGAATTATAGGTGGTCTTGGACGGAGTTTTAGCTCCACTCACTAGCCTTAGCCCGCCTATTAGTGTTGTTTTTTAAACCTTTCGCCTAAGCCCATCCGAGCTCCAAGTCGATCCTAGTCTACTTGCAAAATGCAAATAATGCCATTCCTTCGATGAGATTACAATATAGTAGACTTGATCATGGCCAAGCGCCCCGCTCGCTCCAGCCTGGTAAGTGTTCTATTGCAAGACGTTCTATTGCCAAACTCTTCCCATCTAGAGATTCACGATTGGCAACTACTTTTGGCCGGAAAAAGTTGATCTGGATACTGTTTTTATTTAATATGAAATGGATGGAATTGGATAACAAAGTTACAGCAGACTCGAATATGAATAGATCGACCCATGGGCAGGTCTAGACTATAGACGAGGCAAGTCCCCAACATGGTTGGTACACGTCTTGGAAGATTTTCCCACTTCTTCAACTAATAATTTAACCCAGCTCCTGCTATCACATTCACATATACGACTCTAGACATGCTAATCCTCGAATATGAAAACACGAGTCATAAATTGCTGAAACTTTACTTTTCACCTCTTTTATTCTATTTGTATTACCTAAAACCTTTTGGGGGATTATTTATATGTAAGAATCTTAGTTTGTAACATAAATGGCAACTAATAAGATGATCTAGTATATGAAAACCAATCGATCATATCACTTTCTTGCGACATTAAGGAAGAAAAATAGAAATGCAAATGAAAGAAACGTGAAGCATATCAATAAACTTTGGATTTAAGTTCCGGAAGAACAGGACACTTTCAAACAGGGATTTTCCCGACGAAGTTGTTCAAGCTCAAATCTAGTAGTTTGATATTTCTTATATCTCCTGTTTCCAATGGGATGGCACAGTCGAATCTAAATTCCCGTAAATTCAACACGATCAAGCTTGTTAAATTTCCCATACATGAGTGAAGCGGGTAAGTGAGGATATTCGAATTTAGGCTCATATCAATCAAGTTCTCCAAATGGCTTAATTCCGACGGAGTAGAACCATTGAATTAGTTGCCTTGCAATTAGAGATAAGTCAAGTTCGTCAAGTTCCCCATTTCTGGAAAATAAGTTCCACTGAATTTTGTTCTCTTGCATATAGAGATATTTCAAGCTCGTGAGATTCCCTATAATTGATGGAACGAGACCGATGAAGTTGTTGTGGCTTAAATCAACATGATTCAATTGCTTGAGGTTCCGTATTTCAAGGGGGTTTGGAGCCGCCTAATTTGTTTGAGGTGAAGCTAAGCTATTGCATATTGTCCAAGCAATCGAGCGTCTAAGGGATTGCTACGTGCATTGAATATGAGATTTTACGTGGGTCAATCTCTTCAGATCGACTTGATTATGACAAATGTCCAGTACACGAAGCCTGGTGAGGTTCTCTGGAGAGGGAGGCAGCTCACTTATGGTAAGTTTGACGGTTAATTGATGGTGATTTCATTAGAATTTAAACCAGATTATGCAAGGAATTAAGACACGTTCAAGAAGTAAAGCTCTTGGTCGAGTACCCAATTCTAAAGTCTCTAAGGTCATCGAGTTTCATTTTCATGTACATGAGTTGTCTACACGCTCAAGAGAAGTCTTGGTCTTTTGTTGTTTATGTGATGTCTGATCTTTTAGCCAATGTGAAGGAAACGTCAATTTCGAAATTTTCCGTCTTCAACTAAAGAGAAACGATCCTGCATATACGTAGTGACTGTCCTTAACAAGCCAAACATTCATGGTGACAACATCACATTATCACTCATCACACATTCCGATCTTACTAAAAAGACAGAAAAATAAACGTCTATCCTATAAATGCTTCACTCCTTAGTAACTGCTACCTAGGAAGATTTTAGCCTAGCTAGTATAAAAAAGTGTTTGGCATAATTAAAATTGCATAAGCAGCATACTTCAAGTCCTCAACCACATTCACCAATTTACAGCACCAATATATCAACCGACTCTTCACTTGGTGGAACTTATTTGCTTGTTTTGGGGCAAGTACTTCACGGTCCTTGCTCTTCTTGTAGGCTTGACGAATATTCTGTTGATCCGCCTTCCACCCATACTGCTCGATTATTTCCTTGGAGCTGCCCAAGTGAAATTGAATGGAAGGGCTTGGCCAACGCTAGTTTTGGAGCTAGAAAAACTTCCGAAACCTGTTTCATTGTGGGTCGTGACTTTGGATCGCTACTTAAGCAAGCAAGTGCCAAAGATATTACTAGAACGATACTTCTTGCAACAGAATTCTCTCTTGGGATTGGCAAGCGCGGGTCCAATATTTGATGTAGCATAATGTCTTCTCTGAAGAGCGTCGACAACATTAAGATGATCTCACTTGGATGCTCACCCATTATTGTTTCTATTGCTACCACCCCGAAGCTGTATACGTCGCATTTCTCATTGACGATCAAAGTGTAAGCGAGCTCTTAAAAAATAAAAAAAGGTCATAAATTAGATGATGCTCGAAACTAAGTTCTCAATCTTAGCTAGTGCATTGTCAAATGATAAATATGTAAGCATGATCAAGCTATGTGCCTCTAGTAATAACATTCCGCAAAAATATGGACTATTGTTGCTCACCTGGTGCTATATATCCATGAGTGCCTACAATATTTGCAGTGAGATTAGATGAGAAATTAGGTTCCATGAGTCTTGCCGTGCCGAAATCTGATACGAAAGCCTGCATTTTGTTGTCGAGCAAAATGTTGTTGCTAGATATGTCTCGATGAATGATTGGCCGAGCGCAATCATGGTGTAGGTAAGACAAGGCATGTGCTATATCCCAGACAATCTTGAGTCTTTTTGACCAATCTAGTTCCACCGCTTCATAGTCATCTCTCAAAACACAGAATAGACTTCCCCTTTCCATGTACTCATAAATCAAGAACATGCATCGCTCGTGTAAGCAAAATCCATAGAGCTTAATTATGCTTCTATGTCGTACTTCTGTCAAGTGCTTCACTTCATTTCGGAAGCTCTTGTCGAAAGATGGGTCCTCTGATTCAAGATGGTGAAGTTTCTTTAGTGCCACGATTTTCCCGTTGGGCAATTGTGCTCTATAGACACTACCGTATCCACCAGTTCCAATGCAATATTTGATATCAAAGTCTTCTGTTGCATTGATTATGTCTTCATATGCAATTCTCCCATCATAATTCCATATTGACAAGAAATCTCCATTTTTTTCCATTGTCTCTGATTGCATGCTCTTCTTTCTACGTCGAAATATGATTGGAGGGCGCAAAACAAAATAGAAAATGAATGTTATAGCCGTCAGTGGTATAAGTATTGTCATAAGCACAACCCTAAACATTCTTCTGGAACCATCAATCTTTTCCGAACCATCAATCTTTTCCAAACCTTCATTGCCTATGAAAGCTCCATAAGGAACATGGGCCAGATTATTTGGAATTTTTCCCGTGAGATAATTGTATGACAAGTCAATGTAATCTATGTGACCAAGAGTCGGAGGGATCATCCCCCAAAACGAATTGGAACTCAGATCCAGGTATCTAAGACTATTTAGATTTCCCAATTCGGGGGGGATTGAACCATAAATGTAATTACTATGAATGTCAATTACTTCTAACATGGTGAGGTTTTGGAGACAAAGAGGGAACTCACCGGTTAGCTGATTGTGGGACAAGTTGAGGTGCCAGAGCTTTGGGAGTGCACATATTTGAAGGGGAAAGATATTACCCAAATTATCATGATGCACCCTAAGAAAGGCCAGATTCGAGAGCAGCGAGAAATTCATGCTGCTCAAATCAAGTGCGACCATGTAGTCGTATTGGCCTCGTTGTGTTATGTTTATCTTGACAACGCTTCCGGAATGGTCGCATGAAATGCCAGGCCACATGCAATATGCTAAGGAAACGTTACTTGTAAGGGGGTAAGGCCACCACCCACTCCGACGAAGAGCATTTGCCTCTGCTTCCATGGCAGTATATTCCAAAACTTCATTGCCTTTGAAAGATGTATAACGAGCATTGAACAGATTTTGTGGAACATTTCCTGTAAGATGATTGTACGATAAGTCGATGTGATCCAATTTGGAAAGCTTTTTGAAATTGGGAACTGAACCGTGAAGAGAATTGTTTTGAAGATTGAGATAGGTTAACATGACCAAACTCCCAAGTTCTTGGGGGATTTTTCCTGAGAAGTTGTTAAAGCTCAAATCTAGATGAGTGAGACCCGTTAAGAATCCTATTTCTGAAGGGATACATCCACTGAATGTATTCTCTTCCATACTCAGATATGCCAAGTCTGTCAAGTTCCCTATTTCCGGAGGAATAGATCCGTTGAAGGCATTTCCTTGCAAATAGAGATGAGTCAAGTTCCTCAATTTCGCTAGAGTCGGAGGGATAGGGCCATGAAGCGAATTGAAATTGAAATCTAGGTGGATCAGACTCTTTAGATTTCCCAATTCTTGAGGGATATATCCACCGATTCTGTTGTCTTCCATACTCAGATATGCCAAGTTTGTCAAGTTCCCTATTTCCGGAGGAATAGATCCATTGAAGGCATTTCCTTGCAAATAGAGATGAGTCAAGTTCCTCAATTTTGTTAGAGTCAGAGGGATAGGGCCATGAAACGAATTTAAACTGAAATCTAGGCGGATCAGACTCTTTAGATTTCCCAATTCTGGAGGGATAGGAGTATCGATTTGATTGTTATGAATGTCAATAACTTCTAACGTGGTGAGGTTTTGGAGACAAAGAGGTAACTCACCGGTTAGGTAATTGTCGGACAAGTTGAGGTGCCTGAGCTTTGGGAGTGTACATATTTGAAGGGGAATGATACCGGCAAGGGAATAATCAGGCAGCCGAAGAGAGCCGAGATTCGGGAGCAGAGAGAAATTCATGCTGCTCAAATTTCTTCTGAACGGGCAGCCGTAGCAACCTGTTGGTGGCACGTTTATTTCGACCACGCTTCCAGAATCGTCGCACGAAATGCCAGGCCACGTGCAATGAGACAAGGAATTGTAGTAAGGCCACCATAGACTGCGACTAAGAGCATCTGCCTCTGTTTCGGTGGCGAGGGCAGGGAAGTTGTGGGAGAGAGCCAGCGCAATAGCGATCCATGTAGCTGCGGTCATCAGCTGGCGAACATGCAAACCGACGGCGGGTTTGCTTGCAGGTTTCAAATGAATCATATGGAATATCTTCATGCTTTTGAGAGAGAGAGAGAGAGAGTGAGAGAGAGGATCTCTTCTTTTTGCTTGGAATGCGCAAGGCCTGAGTTTTGCTGTAATATATAAAGGGCAATTCAACATAACGACTTGGAAGTCTTCAATTTCGACTAATTGAAGCCACGTGTCACCGTCAGGCGTTGGGCCCCCGTGGTTTTAGTGTAAATCCAATTCACACTTGGGGCTAATTTTAAAAAAAAAACACAAATTTTACCTTGAGTTGCAATTCTAACGCGAACTTTTTTTGTCTTAATAAAAAACACAAACTTTTACTCGAATTCCAAATCTAGTCTCCGGATGTGAAATTTTCAAATTGTTAGAGCCAGATTTGGGGTTTAAATGAAAGTTTGTGATATTTTATGAGACAAAAAAAGTTCGGACAAAAATTGTTACCCAAGGTAAAATTGAAGTTTTTTTTTTTTAAATTAGGGCTTCACACTTGCGTGAACCGTACGCACAAGCATGGTTTTTTACCTTGGTCTCACGTGTCACACTTTTCTGTGTTTGAATCTTGTTGTGTAACACACGTTACTTTAGTCTGGTCTCCATAGAGGGTCCTAATGGACTTCACATCTAATTGAGAAAGAGTACTCCGTGATCAAACTAATTTGGCCATTACTTTCATCTTAATAAATTTGTTTTAAAACCTCAAATTATTGGCTAAGTGATTAAACACCTAATTTAGATAGGATAGATTCCCTCATAACATTTTATATTCAGAATAATCTCACAAGCCACCCTATGAATGGAGCTTTACTAAATACATGTAAAATGTGAACAGGTGAATTGTGTGTGTTAGTGACATTTGTTTGAGTCGAACGGTCCGAATACTTTGTATTGTCAAAACAAAAGCTAACAACTTATTTTGGACTACATGTCAAGGTTTTCGCGGTTGTAATAGCAAGTTAATTACCCTCATATCCCATGAGATAATAACTTGTTTGATTGCTCAATGTAAACAAAATTAGCTCTTATATCCCACGAGCTGCTCTAACTAGCTTGACAAAAGTTAAATTTCAAATTTAGTGGGACACCATACAAAATAAAGTCAGCATTGGCTATAGATAAAATCTTGAGTAAGTTGTTGTGACATCGCTTGAATTTCATGGCTTTCGACCATTGATTACTCGATAAAACTGGAAAGGATAGGAACACTAATTAACAAAGTTATAATTTTTGTACGGTGCTCACTTTGATGTGATAACTTTTTAAGCGATTCATAATTTTTAAAAGCATATCACTTAAAGTTACATCAATGATTTTTTTGTTGGAAATTCCCGCGTGACATTATTTTCTGGCGAACCACGTTGGATGATTTAATATTAAATTAATGCCACAATGGATTTTCAAGTAAGGAAAATCGCCGATGTAATTTGAGTGATAAATTTTTTAGAGTTCTAGCACAAATGTTCTGACAAACAGAATATTCTATCCACCGCAATCTCTAAATTTGGCAGTTTTACGATTTGATTAAATTTTAAACCAGCATACTGGCCTAAAAAAAAGATTTTAAACCAGCATGCTTGTATGGACGGAACTTGCACACATCCATCAACAAGTCAAGGTCTTTTGGGGTTTCATGTGTGTTGACTTTTGGATCAGTGCGTGTTCAATGGTTCATGGGAAGTCATGGTCTTTATGACACTTTTATTGGTGATGTTTGGCCCTCCATATTTCTAACCCATTGTAAGGGGAAGGTCATGGACCAATTTTCCAGCCTTTTTCTTTTTTTTACTGGCCTGCCTTCAACTTAGAAAGCCAAGGATGCTTGTAATTTCAATTTAATAATACCAAAGCAGTCTTTTTGCTTTATCCAAACTACAGTGACTCTACTGGACCAATCGAGTTTTGTCGCTTCAGCATCGTTTCTCAATGCACCACTTAGACTCCCCCTTTCCCTCTTGTACTCATGAACCAACAACGAGCATCGCTTGTGTAAGTAGAAACCATGAAGCTTAATTATGCTTTCACGTCCTACTTTCGTCGAGTGTTTGACTGCATTTCGGAACTTCTTATCAAAAGATGGGTCCTTTGCTTTAAGATGGTGAAGTTTCTTCGATGCCACGATATCCCCATTTTGCAATTGTGCTCTATAGACACTACGAACGTAACAGCCACTCACGATGCTATATCCGATGTCAAAGTCTTCCGTTGCATTGATTATATCTTCATATGCAATTCTCCCATCAAAATTCCTTATCAACAAGAAATCTCCATTTTTCTTAGTTGTCTCTGATTGCGCATGCTCTTCATTATACATTGAAATACGAAGTGAGGTGTAAGACCTAAATAGGAAATGAGTATTATAAATAAGGGAGATTCTTTAAAAATAAATACATTATAAAACATCCAAAGTTCAACAAGAGACACAATTTAGGATCAACATGATCTAAATTTTTTCTGGTGGACCCTATAAAATTCTTCAGTCTCACTCAAAGGTTAACTCCCAGTTATTAAAACAAATTATTCTTTTATGTTTCTGGAATTGATTGTTATTGCTTCGAGTACACTTTGTTGTTCAGTAATTGAACTTTTGCTATTCCTTCTAATCATCCACTAATCCATTGATAACCCCATTATGAATATTTCGTTTAATGCCACAAATGACTTCTGATAAATCGTTGGGAACTGCAATATAAAAGACTATCTGTTGAACAGAGAACAAGATGACTTTAAGTTGGAAACAGCTTCCCAAATACTTTGCGCAAGTTCAATTTTGGCGGCCCCAAAACCTATTTACAAATTTGCCACCCCACCCATATAAGTCTTCTCTAGTTTTATTTCTTCGAGCACCATGTGATACTTTTGGTTCAGTTAATCTTACTAGTGAGCACAGTACTAGAAGAAAAATATGCCCTTTCAATCAACCAAAATTAACAGATGATCACTATACCAATGAATACAATGGGAAAACTTGCATCAATTACTGAATAAAGAAAAACGATGACAATAATGAAGTTTTTGATAGGAAAATCAGAAAAGATTTAACAAAGCTGATGTGTGACCGGTTTTTTTCTGGTACAGGCGTGCCCTAATACTCTTGCTTAAATGGTCATTTTGAGTCATACCAATCACTTATTAATTAATTACGCTTGGGGTCTTTCAGACAGGAGAGGAGTTTCTATAAAAAAAAACCCCGAACTATGAAATTTATCCAAGATACCAATTTCTTTATCTGTATCAAGAATGTACTTAGTCGATTTAACTGTTACGTAGTCCGTGAAAACATTGATGCGCCAATCAGATTTTGTCGGATCTGCGCCAATGAGATTGCATGGAAGGGCTCCATTATTGGTATCTTTTGACCCAACAAAGCTTCAGAAATTTGTTTCATTGTCGGTGGTCGTGACTTACTAATGTATCCCGTTTCATCTAAATTGTCCGCTTTTAGACAAAAGATACGAAATTCTTGATTCTTATTATTTACTAATGTATAATATACCTGGATTTGGCAATAGTTGAAAATTGCTCTTGCTCCTTGTTATATACGTAGGGATATTTCCCATGTAACCGACAATTATTGCGATATTGCTGATTAAACCTCATCATAACCAATGGTATTGAATGGGGCGAGCACTTAAGAAATGGAAGAATCCTAGTTGGAAGCAAGATTAGTAAAAAGTAGCGAAAATTGCCCAAAACTTCTAAACATATTATACAGCGGCCAATTCAATCCTAAACTTTTTAATTGTGCAAATTTAGAAGCTCTCCTTGAAGTAGAGAGTTTTGGATAATTTGTCAATTTAATCCTAAACCTTTTAATGATTTGCCAATTTAATTCTTCCAGCAATTTTGACTGGAAATTGCTAACGTTGTGATTTAGTCAATGCCTACGTGGTATGGTCGACGCTGACATGGACAATTTTGATAATTTTGGTAATTTTCTAAATCATTTTTTTCCCTTTTTCCCTCCACCGACTATCATCGGGCCTCTCCTCGCCTAGCCCTCACCGGCCTTGGGCGAGGGACGCCCTTGCCGGATTGGGCCTAGGTGAGGTCACTCATTAAGAACAGTACTAGAATACTTTGCAATGACATATTTATGTAGACATAAATTAGTTTCTAGGAATGTATTTACAATACGATTATATGTTTCTGTTACAATGGACAGCTATACATTGCCGTTGATAAGAGAAGCTGAATATCTGCAACATCATTATTGTGGAGTGGCCGGTAGCCCCTTTGTCGAAA